CCCCATTTCTTTCATCCCCACCCCCTGTCTCTCTCTCTCTCTCTCTCTCTCTCTCTCTCTCTCTCTCTCTCTCTCTCCGGTGTGCATGCACAAGTATGTCTACATATTTGTGTCTGTATCTTTCCTAATGAATTCATTTGTTTTAGATCTAATAAATACGTATGTTCTTTGTGTGTTTATCGTCGTGCGTGCCAATAAATGTTCATGAGTCCACCGTTATGAATAGCAACGGTAGGTCCTATAACTTCTTTATATCACCTCTGTTGTTTCTGTCTGTCTGTCTTTCTTTTTACCCGGAACTAATTGACCATTTTTGTGTCGACTTGCTTCTCTTTACTCAAACAAAAACCACAGAAAAACAAAAACAAAAAACAAAAACAAACAAACAAACAAACATTGAAAATAGAAATGTGCTGTCTCCAAACATTATATTATATTGTTTTCACAAAGTTACACGGATGTCCTTACAGGACATTCCTCCATGGCAGAGTAAAAATGTGTGTTTCTTTCTGAGAGGTTAAATAAGAGAAAGAATAAGAGACTTTCCACTCTTCCCTATCCTGGGCCAGTCTCTTGGTGTTATTCCATGCCTTCCTACTTTTCTGTACATGAAGTTCTGTGGTGACTCTTATCCAGGTTCCACGTGGTCTTTCCTTTGATTTTACACTAATACAAATTAATTTAATTAGTAATAGCTCTTGTCTGTTGTTGTCTTGAACGTCAGCAATCACAAGAAAAAAACAAGGTGTATTTTGCTTGAATGTTTGTTTTATTGATTGTTCTTTTCCTGTGCAATGTTCATAAGAAAACCAACGGCATTCATCTTTGCTACATGCATACTACACTGATATATGGTTAGATATATGAGATCGTGCATCTCGAATGTCAGTGATGATGGTTGGAGGAACCCCCCTACCCCCCACCCCCACCCACAAAATAGTTTGATTCATGCCCGTGTGTGGATCGAAGCGTTCGCGTGGGCGGTGTACAGAAGAGTACAGAGACTTTGGGTCCGGTGTACGGAGTACAGAGACTTTGGCTCCGGGAGTAATTTGTGTCACGACACGCTGGAATCAGGCGCTCGTAAATTTTTGGGCATGAGAGGAATTATTGCTATCGTCTCAAAGCTCATTTATTTGACTTGTTTCCTTTGATAAAAATACCCTTCTATCTTGAATAGAGGTTGAGATATTTGCGGTTGAAGGAGATGGGGGCGTCTGGGTTCAGTGGTAAATTAGTGAGAAAATTAGTGAGAAAAGTAAGGTAACTTCAATAGATTGAGAGTCCTTGAAAACTGAAAATGTACATATTTTGTGCCTTTGACCAACGTTTTTCAGTCAAATACACTTGGAATTATGTTTTTATATAGACATAATAGGTGTTGCCTCAAAAACCAAAAATTCGATAAAAATGGCAAAACTGACGAAAATATACCTGTTTCTTCATTTTCATTATTTTGACGAGCGCCTGATTTCACCCCGATGCCTCACACTTGTCTCTATGAGCGGAGTCGTGAGCATCCATCCCAGAGCCATTGACCTCTGCCGGCTCGGCTGTTGGTCCAGTTGGCCGGAACTGTTGGCTCTTGCTAGAGTTACCGGGCGCCGATTTAGCCAGCCGTGCTAAGGGTGAGCGCCTCGCGCGTCCACTGAATTGGCCTCCTTTCATTTCTCTGACAATCTTCCAAAAGATGAATGGCTGTGTGAGTTAGCTCCACTCCGGTTCACATTGGTGTTTTCTTGGTTGGGTTTTTTTGGGAGGCCAGAGAGTTATTTGTATGTATGTATGTATGTATGTATGTATGTATGTATGTATGTATGTATGTATGT